CTTCTGCTGTCTTCTGCAGCTCAAGGCGTAAACTTAGAGCATCGCCAGCTCTTGCACTTGCAGCTGGGGTACTCGAAAATCCACTATCGCTATTTTCTAGCTCAGAGGCTAAGGAATCATACAATGAATCGACCGAGCCTGCTCTCATCGGTGGTGCTGATCGAAAACGGCTCAGCTCCTCTTCAGCGTCACAAAACATACTCCTCAGCTCAGCGTATCGCTCCTAAACATTCGTACTTTATCTGGAAAAAAATGCTAATTTGTGGAAAAAGGCATTTACCTGTAGCTCTTTCATCTGCATGCCAAGTTCAGCCTGCCGTTGAAGGGCTTCATCGACTTGGCGGGTCAAGTCTGCATTTTCGGCAGTTAGCTGAAAGACATACAGTTTTCAAAGTTATTAACGTTAAAATGAAACAAATCTTTTTTAATTGAGAGCATATATGAATGATTTGCATGATCGTTATCGGAACACTAAAATGCTCAAAAAACAAGTGACGGGTCGATTAGGTTGGAAGGAACTCGTCCAAAATTTGTCGGTTTTGTGTCAATTAAAATCTTTTAAAAGACATCATCCAATAGCAATAAGCCAACCATGCTAGATCCCACAGAATCTCAAAGTTTCTTCCACAACTATCAAATCTTCGATATTATTTCTTGCGTAACTCCCCCACTTGGTAAATGATTTTTATGCTTGAATATGACCCTGAGATGTCTCAAACAAGCGGTGCAAATAGGGTTTTTATACTCGCCGGTAGCACAGTAAAAGCAATACCCAGTTACTTCTGTAAAGTGCACCAAAGATGTATCGTGGTAGGTAATTAAGCCGTTGACGATCATTGCGCTAAATCGTTCGTGACGATCGATGGGCATTCGTTCTCGTCCACTTTTGTATACGTTTTAATATAGTTCTGGATCCACAAATGCTCGCGAAGAAGCTCCAGTATATCGTCTACGACACCTTTTACTGGGGGAATCCCTTGAGCGTTGCAAAAAATTGGACAAAACTTTCTTTCCAACCTTACACATAG